CATGTGAGCAACAAAATAATACTTTAGGCTGAACATGTGAGCAACAAAATAATACTTTTAGGCTGAACATGTGAGCAAAGAAAGAAAACTGTCGGCTGAACATGTGAGCAACGAAGGAAGACTATGGGCTGAACATGTGAGCAATAAAAGAAAACTGTGGTCTGAACATGTGAGCAACAAAAGAAAACTGTGGGCTGAACATGTGAGCAACAAAATAATACTTTAGGCTGAACATGTGAGCAACAAAATAATACTTTAGGCTGAACATGTGAACAACAAAATAATACTGTTAGGCTGAACATGTGAGCAAAGAAAAGAAAACTGTCGGCTGAACATGTGAGCAACGAAGGAAGACTATGGGCTGAACATGTGAGCAATAAAAGAAAAACTGTGGTCTGAACATGTGAGCAACAAAAAGAAAACTGTGGGCTGAACATGTGAGCAACAAAATAATACTTTAGGCTGAACATGTGAGCAAAGAAAGAAAAACTGTCGGCTGAACATGTGAGCAACGAAGGAAGACTATGGGCTGAACATGTGAGCAATAAAAGAAAAACTGTGGTCTGAACATGTGAGCAACAAAAAGAAAACTGTGGGCTGAACATGTGAGCAACAAAATAATACTTTAGGCTGAACATGTGAGCCACAAAATAATACTTTAGGCTGAACATGTGAGCAAAGAAAGTAAACTGTCGGCTGAACATGTGAGCAACGAAGGAAGACTATGGGCTGAACATGTGAGCAATAATAGAAAACTGTGGTCTGAACATGTGAGCAACAAAAAAAAAACTGTGGGCTGAACATGTGAGCAACAAAATAATACTTTTAGGGCTGAACATGTGAGCAACAAAATAATACTTTAGGCTGAACATGTGAGCAAAGAAAGAAAACTGTCGTCTGAACATGTGAGCAACGAAGGAAGACTATGGGCTGAACATGTGAGCAATAAAAGAAAACTGTGGTCTGAACATGTGAGCAACAAAAGAAAACTGTGGGCTGAACATGTGAGCAACAAAATAATACTTTAGGCTGAACATGTGAGCAACAAAATAATACTTTAGGCTGAACATGTGAGCAAAGAAAGAAAACTGTCGGCTGAACATGTGAGCAACGAAGGAAGACTATGGGCTGAACATGTGAGCAATAAAAGAAAAACTGTGGTCTGAACATGTGAGCAACAAAAAGGAAAACTGTGGGCTGAACATGTGAGCAACAAAAAATAATACTTTAGGCTGAACATGTGAACAACAAATAATACTTTTAGGCTGAACATGTGAGCAAAGAAAGAAAAACTGTCGGCTGAACATGTGAGCAACGAAGGAAGACTATGGGCTGAACATGTGAGCAATAAAAAAAAACTGTGGTCTGAACATGTGAGCAACAAAAAAGAAAACTGTGGGCTGAACATGAGCAACAAAATAATACTTTAGGCTGAACATGTGAACAACAAAATAATACTTTAGGCTGAACATGTGAGCAAAGAAAACTGTCGGCTGAACATGTGAGCAACGAAGGAAGACTATGGGCTGAACATGTGAGCAATAAAAGAAAACTGTGGTCTGAACATGTGAGCAACAAAAAGAAAACTGTGGGCTGAACATGTGAGCAACAAAATAATACTTTAGGCTGAACATGTGAACAACAAAATAATACTTTAGGCTGAACATGTGAGCAAAGAAAATAAAACTGTTAGGCTGAACATGTGAGCAACGAAGGAAGACTATGGGCTGAACATGTGAGCAATAAAAAGAAAACTGTGGTCTGAACATATGAGCAACAAAAGAAAACTGTGGGCTGAACATGTGAGCAACAAAAATAATACTTTTAGGGCTGAACATGTGAGCAACAAAATAATACTTTTTAGGCTGAACATGTGAGCAACAAAATATTACTTTAGGCTGAACATGTGAGCAAAGAAAGTAAACTGTCGGCTGAACATGTGAGCAACGAAGGAAGACTATGGGCTGAACATGTGAGCAATAAAAAGAAAACTGTGGTCTGAACATGTGAGCAACAAAAAGAAAACTGTGGGCTGAACATGTGAGCAACAAAAAATAATACTTTTAGGGCTGAACATGTGAGCAACAAAATAATACTTTTAGGCTGAACATGTGAGCAAAGAAAGAAAACTGTCGTCTGAACATGTGAGCAACGAAGGAAGACTATGGGCTGAACATGTGAGCAATAAAAGAAAACTGTGGTCTGAACATGTGAGCAACAAAAGAAAACTGTGGGCTGAACATGTGAGCAACAAAATAATACTTTAGGCTGAACATGTGAGCAACAAAATAATACTTTAGGCTGAACATGTGAGCAAAGAAAATAAAACTGTCGGCTGAACATGTGAGCAACGAAGGAAGACTATGGGCTGAACATGTGAGCAATAAAAGAAAACTGTGGTCTGAACATGTGAGCAACAAAAGAAAACTGTGGGCTGAACATGTGAGCAACAAAATAATACTTTAGGCTGAACATGTGAGCAACAAAATAATACTTTAGGCTGAACATGTGAACAACAAAATAATACTTTAGGCTGAACATGTGAGCAAAGAAAGAAAACTGTCGGCTGAACATGTGAGCAACGAAGGAAGACTATGGGCTGAACATGTGAGCAATAAAAAAAAAACTGTGGTCTGAACATGTGAGCAACAAAAAAGAAAACTGTGGGCTGAATATGTGAGCAACAAAATAATACTTTTAGGCTGAACATGTGAGCAACAAAATAATACTTTAGGCTGAACATGTGAGCAAAGAAAGAAAATTGTCGGCTGAACATGTGAGCAACGAAGGAAGAGTATGGGCTGAACATGTGAGCAATAAAAAGAAAACTGTGGTCTGAACATGTGAGCAACAAAAAAGAAAACTGTGGGCTGAACATGTGAGCAACAAAAATAATACTTTAGGCTGAACATGTGAGCAACAAAATAATACTTTAGGGCTGAACATGTGAGCAAAAAAAATAAACTGTCGGCTGAACATGTGAGCAACGAAGGAAGACTATGGGCTGAACATGTGAGCAATAAAAGAAAACTGTGGTCTGAACATGTGAGCAACAAAAAAGAAAACTGTGGGCTGAACATGTGAGCAACAAAAATAATACTTTAGGCTGAACATGTGAGCAACAAAATAATACTTTAGGCTGAACATGTGAGCAACAAAATACTTTAGGCTGAACATGTGAGCAAAGAAAGTAAACTGTCGGCTGAACATGTGAGCAACGAAGGAAGACTATGGGCTGAACATGTGAGCAATAAAAGAAAATTGTGGTCTGAACATGTGAGCAAATAAAAGAAAACTGTGGGCTGAACATGTGAGCAACAAAATAATACTTTAGGCTGAACATGTGAGCCACAAAATAATACTTTTAGGCTGAACATGTGAGCAACAAAATATAATACTTTAGGCTGAACATGTGAGCAAAGAAAACGTAAACTGTCGGCTGAACATGTGAGCAACGAAGGAAGACTATGGGCTGAACATGTGAGCAATAAAAGAAAACTGTGGTCTGAACATGTGAGCAACAAAAGAAAACTGTGGGCTGAACATGTGAGCAACAAAATAATACTTTAGGCTGAACATGTGAGCCACAAAATAATACTTTAGGCTGAACATGTGAGCAACAAAATAATACTTTAGGCTGAACATGTGAGCAAAGAAAGTAAACTGTCGGCTGAACATGTGAGCAACGAAGGAAGACTATGGGCTGAACATGTGAGCAATAAAAGAAAACTGTGGTCTGAACATGTGAGCAACAAAAGAAAACTGTGGGCTGAACATGTGAGCAACAAAATAATACTTTAGGCTGAACATGTGAGCAAAGAAAGAAAACTGTCGGCTGAACATGTGAGCAACGAAGGAAGACTATGGGCTGAACATGTGAGCAATAAAAAAAAAACTGTGGTCTGAACATGTGAGCAACAAAAGAAAACTGTGGGCTGAACATGTGAGCAACAAAATAATACTTTAGGCTGAACATGTGAGCAACAAAATAATACTTTAGGCTGAACATGTGAACAACAAAATAATACTTTAGGCTGAACATGTGAGCAAAGAAAGAAAACTGTCGGCTGAACATGTGAGCAACGAAAGAAGGAAAACTATGGGCTGAACATGTGAGCAATAAAAAAAAAACTGTGGTCTGAACATGTGAGCAACAAAAAGAAAACTGTGGGCTGAACATGTGAGCAACAAAATAATACTTTAGGCTGAACATGTGAGCAAAGAAAGAAAACTGTCGGCTGAACATGTGAGCAACGAAGGAAGACTATGGGCTGAACATGTGAGCAATAAAAGAAAACTGTGGTCTGAACATGTGAGCAACAAAAGAAAACTGTGGGCTGAACATGTGAGCAACAAAATAATACTTTAGGCTGAACATGTGAGCCACAAAATAATACTTTAGGCTGAACATGTGAGCAAAGAAAGTAAACTGTCGGCTGAACATGTGAGCAACGAAGGAAGACTATGGGCTGAACATGTGAGCAATAATAGAAAACTGTGGTCTGAACATGTGAGCAACAAAAGAAAACTGTGGGCTGAACATGTGAGCAACAAAATAATACTTTAGGCTGAACATGTGAGCAACAAAATAATACTTTAGGCTGAACATGTGAGCAAAGAAAGAAAACTGTCGTCTGAACATGTGAGCAACGAAGGAAGACTATGGGCTGAACATGTGAGCAATAAAAAGAAAACTGTGGTCTGAACATGTGAGCAACAAAAAAAAAAACTGTGGGCTGAACATGTGAGCAACAAAATAATACTTTAGGCTGAACATGTGAGCAACAAAATAATACTTTTAGGCTGAACATGTGAGCAAAGAAAGAAAACTGTCGGCTGAACATGTGAGCAACGAAGGAAGACTATGGGCTGAACATGTGAGCAATAAAAAAAAAACTGTGGTCTGAACATGTGAGCAACAAAAAGAAAACTGTGGGCTGAACATGTGAGCAACAAAATAATACTTTTAGGCTGAACATGTGAACAACAAAATAATACTTTTAGGCTGAACATGTGAGCAAAGAAAGAAAACTGTCGGCTGAACATGTGAGCAACGAAGGAAGACTATGGGCTGAACATGTGAGCAATAAAAAAACTGAAAACTGTGGTCTGAACATGTGAGCAACAAAAAAAAACTGTGGGCTGAAATATGTGAGCAACAAAATAATACTTTTAGGCTGAACATGTGAGCCACAAAATAATACTTTAGGCTGAACATGTGAGCAACAAAATAATACTTTAGGCTGAACATGTGAGCAACAAAATAATACTTTAGGCTGAACATGTGAGCAAAGAAAAGAAAAAACTGTCGGCTGAACATGTGAGCAACGAAGGAAGACTATGGGCTGAACATGTGAGCAATAAAAGAAAAACTGTGGTCTGAACATGTGAGCAACAAAAAAGAAAACTGTGGGCTGAACATGTGAGCAACAAAATAATACTTTTAGGCTGAACATGTGAGCAACAAAATAATACTTTAGGCTGAACATGTGAACAACAAAATAATACTTTAGGCTGAACATGTGAGCAAAGAAAGAAAAAACTGTCGGCTGAACATGTGAGCAACGAAGGAAGACTATGGGCTGAACATGTGAGCAATAAAAAAAAAACTGTGGTCTGAACATGTGAGCAACAAAAGAAAAACTGTGGGCTGAATATGTGAGCAACAAAATAATAATACTTTAGGCTGAACATGTGAGCAACAAAATAATACTTTAGGCTGAACATGTGAGCAAAGAAAGAAAATTGTCGGCTGAACATGTGAGCAACGAAGGAAGAGTATGGGCTGAACATGTGAGCAATAAAAGAAAACTGTGGTCTGAACATGTGAGCAACAAAAAAGAAAACTGTGGGCTGAACATGTGAGCAAATAAAATAATACTTTAGGCTGAACATGTGAGCAACAAAATAATACTTTTAGGCTGAACATGAGCAAAGAAAGAAAAACTGTCGGCTGAACATGTGAGCAACGAAGGAAGACTATGGGCTGAACATGTGAGCAATAAAAGAAAACTGTGGTCTGAACATGTGAGCAACAAAAGAAAACTGTGGGCTGAACATGTGAGCAACAAAATAATACTTTAGGCTGAACATGTGAGCAACAAAATAATACTTTAGGCTGAACATGTGAGCAACAAAATAATACTTTAGGCTGAACATGTGAGCAAAGAAAGTAAACTGTCGGCTGAACATGTGAGCAACGAAGGAAGACTATGGGCTGAACATGTGAGCAATAAAAGAAAAGTGTGGTCTGAACATGTGAGCAACAAAAAAAAAACTGTGGGCTGAACATGTGAGCAACAAAATAATACTTTTAGGCTGAACATGTGAGCCACAAAATAATACTTTTAGGCTGAACATGTGAGCAACAAAATAATACTTTTTAGGCTGAACATGTGAGCAAAGAAAGTAAACTGTCGGCTGAACATGTGAGCAACGAAGGAAGACTATGGGCTGAACATGTGAGCAATAAAAGAAAACTGTGGTCTGAACATGTGAGCAAATAAAAGAAAAACTGTGGGCTGAACATGTGAGCAACAAAATAATACTTTTAGGCTGAAATGTGAGCCACAAAATAATACTTTTTAGGCTGAACATGTGAGCAACAAAATAATACTTTAGGCTGAACATGTGAGCAAAGAAAGTAAACTGTCGGCTGAACATGTGAGCAACGAAGGAAGACTATGGGCTGAACATGTGAGCAATAAAAGAAAACTGTGGTCTGAACATGTGAGCAACAAAAGAAAACTGTGGGCTGAACATGTGAGCAACAAAATAATACTTTAGGCTGAACATGTGAGCAAAGAAAGAAAACTGTCGGCTGAACATGTGAGCAACGAAGGAAGACTATGGGCTGAACATGTGAGCAATAAAAGAAAACTGTGGTCTGAACATGTGAGCAACAAAAGAAAACTGTGGGCTGAACATGTGAGCAACAAAATAATACTTTAGGCTGAACATGTGAGCCACAAAATAATACTTTAGGCTGAACATGTGAGCAACAAAATAATACTTTAGGCTGAACATGTGAGCAAAGAAAGAAAACTGTAGGCTGAACATGTGAACAACAAAAGAAAACTGTGTGCTAAACGTGTGAGCAACTAAAGAATAAAAAATATAGAAACAAGAAGTTGGCTTATACTTACAATCAGAATGAAATCTGAAATTTCTATTATCCATAATCAGAAAAGAGGGCTTTGTGAATTCGACACTCACAGGACATAATGAAAGCAAGACATGGTTAAAACAGCGGGAAAACTACTTAGAAAGCTTATCTGAATGGGTAGCAAACCGAGGAATGGAAAGGATGGTGAAAAGACAAAACATATAAACATCAACATAAGATAGGAAGTTGTAGAGAATCATGACCGACCATGCCTGTTGTGGACACCATGCAGTAGGAAGAATATACCATATATACTCGCGTATCTTGCGACCTTTGAAGACCTAATTTGGCAACAATAAATACATATAATGTTTAATCAACGGCGTACACTGGGCCAACACTGCATATGCTAATTTTAGATCTCTTGTATGATCCGACTCCCTTAAAAATTTGCTTCAAAATTAGGTCTTCACACGTCTCAAGATACGCGAGAATATACGGTATTTGTATATATTGCTATATGTATTAAAATGTTTACAAAACATATCAAACATAATCACACAGACAGAAACACGGCCATGGAACCTGTTTTCCAAAGGAAATTTGAGTCGAATTCCTGTGTTTGATCGTAAGTATCTGGTTGTATTTACCTGGTTTCCTTAGCAATTAATCAATTCGCCAACGTAGATCTGTAGGTATACATGAAAGAATGTCGGTAGGCAGGGAGACAGCTACCTACCTACCTACCTTCCTATCTAACTACTTATTTACCTACCTACCGGTCACAAATTGATTGTATCTGTTTCAGTATGCGTTTACCTATCTGTGAATTTATCTTAGTTCGGTTACACCTACTAATTAATTCACTTCTCTCCCTGCATAGTCTATTTACTGTGATTAGCCTAGTTTGTCACAAGGCCTTAAAGAGAGAGCACTCAGAAAAGATTCAAGGCTATAGAGTTGTAATAAATAGGAAGTCCAGTTTCTAACTAAGATTCGAGGACAATTCGCTCACGTAATATCTTTTTTTAACTTGTTCATTATCTAACCATCTAAGATTAGATTTAATATCAGAGCGGGAGGGAGTTGCGAAGCAGTTACACATTTAAGATGTTTCGCTATATATCTAGCTTCATCAGAAATTTATTGAAATTAAAAAATGCGGAGTTATTTGATTTTTAAATTTTATTTTGTGTTGTTTTAATTTGCTAGCTAAACGTCAGATGCCAGTCTATCTATCTATCTATCTATCTATCTATCTCTTTCTCTCTCTCTCTCTCTCTCTCTCTATATATATATATATATATATATATAATAGGATAGGACATGGAAGAAATAGGAAGCCTTTGTAAATTTTACTAAATCTTCATCAGACAATGAAATATGAAGGAGAATACGAAGATTTTGATATTTTTAGTTTTTATATTGTTGGCTTTTCATTGGTTAAGCAGACATCACGTGTATCTCTATTTTCAGGCAGCGTCCGTGTGTATAATTCATGTGTATATATGTATCATAATTCTTGTTTGTCTATTCGGATGATAATGTGTACCCGTTTGTGTGTGTATGTGTGTTTGTAGTAATAGTAGTAACACCAGCAGTAGTCGTAGCAGTAGTAGGTATTTTTTTATCTCTGTTTGGTGTTTGTCCGAATGTTGTTTTGGCAATTTGGGGGGGGATAATTTAAGTTACACCTGTTTTGATAACAGGTAGACATGTCCTACATTCATTAAGTATGGATTTTTTAAAAAGTTGTTGCTATAATAAAATGTTTTTGGCCTGTTTTATAGATACCAAAATATTTACCAGAACACCCTCGAAGAGTTTCCTGCGCAAAGAATTATGTTCTTTTCTAATTAGAGTGTCATTTATAAAATCAAAGTTATGGCCTGTTTTATTTCTGTGTATTACCACCGAGTTTGAAGGGTCGTCCCAACATAGGTCTCTATTATGTTCTTGGATGCGGGATTTTAGATCCCTCGATGTTTCGCCAATGTAACTCTTCCTACATTGCTGGGATTTTATTTCATGACTACCAACATCTGATTTACTATAGGATCTATTTTCTTCCTAACTATATCTCTGACTGTATTAGTTTTAGTGGTAAAAGTGTTGAGGATAAGTAATTTATTTTCAAATTATATTCTTAGAGTATAAGATTATGAATTTTGTGATTTTGTTGACAGTGATGGTACCTTCACCTCTGGACTTGTGGATGTTTTATGCTCGTTTTCTGTCGTTGTGGATGAAATTGTGTGGGTAGTGAAATTGTGTAAATGTTTTTCAATGTAGATTTTTATATATCTATCTTTGTTCAGTAACATCCATTAACACAGCTACAATAATAAAAAAAAACATTATATCACTCTAGATACATATATAAAATATGTGCACATTCAGCCGAAAGGATATATAGAACCTTCGGACAGTCTTTACACAAATGATATCCAGAAAAGAAAACATTCAAACACAAGAAAAATTGATTAAAAACACCTGATCGCAGTACCTTATTAGTCGTCTTTAATAGAATATATATATATATATATATATATATATATATATATATATATATATATATATATATAGCTGGCCACTCGTATTCGAGGATACACATCTACTAAGGCGGCTATCCAATCCCTGTTGCAGACGCTTGCTCAGGCGCATTTGTATTTATTCAACTCCTACAGAGCCTACCTGTTCTTTATACAGCAATTTTGTTGAGCAGACCTTAGTTAGAGTTTCTGGGGGAGAACGTGTTGTCAAGCGTGATGTAGACAAGGCCAGCACACTCAAGACCTCGGCCACGATGACTTGTGACTTTGTGCTAGCACAGCTACCGTCTACGCAATTTCACTCACAAGGCTTGGGTCAACCCGTAATATGATTTTCAGGCATTTTCCAAAGGTGCCGCACGCTGGGATTGATCCTTCCAGTTCGATAATATAAGAACGTTCTAACCACTCGATTGCGTGCCCTTAAATATATATATATATATATATATATATATATATATATATATATAGAGAGAGAGAGAGAGAGAGAGAGAGAGAGAGAGAGAGAGATCTGTTTCGTAACATTGAGCACTGTATTTATAACACCTGAGGAAGAAATATATTTATACGTACGTGCCAGTATTTGTGCATGTATGTAGATTTTTATCCTACCCAAGCCATCACATATATATATATATATATATATATATATATATTCAGGAAAACAACAATGAATTCAAAACCAACGGAGAGTCGTTTGGGGAGCTTGTCGCACGCAGTGCACCAGGTCACTGTATTCAGCCCTTCAAAAAAGTGTGGCTGTTTCTGCACAAAGCCTTCACCACTATAATCAAATCATATGTGCTGGTGTCTGGGTTGTCGGTTCATTGGAAATGAGCTGCTTGACCCTCATACGTCAAAAAAAATGACAGATTGTATCACAGCTGCTCAATGGGACTAGATATCCGAACGCCTCAAGCCAGAATTAAAACCCAACCGATCTGCTGTCAGTCAGAGCTGCTACCATTGAGCTATCTTCATCCGACAAAATGAGGTTGCCAAATCTAGCGTATCCTTTTTACAAATGTAAACAAATTTCAATCAGCAGGAATTCTCCATGTGACGTCGTCCTCCGGTCGCAGCGTCGACTGTGTCGTTCTATCCTGATCTACCACGGCGCCAGTTGTGACGTCCCTAACAGCACCAACTGTGACTTCTTCGCCGCGGCGTCAGCTGTTCGCTCCTCCAAACGTGACGTTCTAACCCTTTTATGATCCGGGTAGGAATCTGGTTAGATTGATACCAGCCTCGCCGTTCCCAACCTGCTTCCAACGCCTGGTTACCAGGGTAACTGCACTGATCTCCAGTCTGCCTACCCACATTGTGAATTGATCTTAGACAGACGAGATCAACAGGGGATGGGGCCGTAATGCAAGCTGAGTTCAACGGGGGTGATAACACACAATTATGTATAAAAGAAAATAAAATGAAAACTCACAAAGTCCAAAGTATCAAAGAAAAAGGTAACAAACTTTTATGTCTATTTGTTCGGTACATAGGACTATGTCTACTTCCCGACCCGTTCTGTGGATTGTCGCAAGACGCTTTCGCTAGGCAACTTTAAGGCTTCAAGTTGTCCGCTCTCTAAGAAATTTGTGTTTCGGTGTGTCTTTGGACGAAAGTCGAAAAACTTATTTCTGTGGTCTGATTTTAAGTCGCTCTTCAAACTACTTGTTCTTGGTTGAAGAAGAGTCCAAAAGTGTGCGTGAATCTTGGTCAGCTATCTGATGCGGTTTCAACACTGGGCGCTCATCTCTGCTTGTCGTCCAAGGCTCAAAAGTTCTCGCCAGGGTCCGCGGCTGATCTCAAACTTCTTCTCTCCAGCTTGGGTCGAACGAACTTCTTCACTTAGGCCAAACGAACTGGCCTCTCCTGCCCGCTAAGGGGTGAACGAACCTGGCCAGCCGTCCGCGGCTCAACTCATTTCTGTCGGTTGGGGTTTCGCTTTTATTGACGCCGTCAAAACTGGGGTGGATCTGTCGGCGCCTGGGGTTCTTCGATAATTCTAAATACGTATCCACCCTTCTTATTTCTGGTTAGGGATTTTCCATTCTTTTCCATTTTCGGTAACTCTCCTCTCACTCCCACTCCCTTACTGTGCCTCTGAGGGGCGTGTACCAACTTCCCCACTTCTTCGTATCGGTTCCTCACACTTACACTTCTGATAGAGGCGTCGACTGATTTTCTTCGTGCGTCACGTGACCGCTCTTGGCCAATGAGGTCCTGGTCGGGTATCTTTCCTCCTCCTTCGTGTGTCATGTGATCTATTTGGCCAATGACGTCTTAGTCGGGCGTGAACAATCCGTGGCTTTGTTTTGGGAAAGAAATACCTTGCTTAAAAAACAAAAATATTAATTAAATCGCCCTTATCATGAGCGACCGAGATGACACTCTCGGCTTTTTAACACGTGGTATTTGTCAAGCAGTTTATCGCTAATTGGATATGATCTAAGAAAGGAATTTCCTAGGCTAGCTGGCGTTTTCTGAAGCAAAATAAAAATATTTCATTTTCCTTTCGCTCGAAGGTCTGATAACAAAAATCTTTATTATCGCAGGGCAAGCATTTATTCTGTCAAAAGAAAGAAAAATTTTATCAGTGACAACATCTTGTGTGGGATTTTTTTTAATTCTGAAGACTGTCTATGTTTTCGTATTAATGGTTTGTCTGCATATTCTTAGATACACTTCCCCACCCACATAGACCTTTACTATCATTCCATTCATTTTCCTTCGGTTCATGCGTCTGATAACAAAATTTTATTGCCGTGGAGAATCCGGTCGGTGAGAATGCCTGTGTGGGATTTTAATTTTTCATATCTAACTACGGTTCTGTAGCCACACCTGTGTTTTGTCAAAACATTAACGTTTTCAAAAGGACTTTACTTTGGCGAACATTTCTTGACAACACAATTCCATTATCTCTATTTTAGTCACTTATCGAAATAAAAAATTTCGTTCGTTTTTTCTTCTTCTTTTCCTCCTTTCTTTCATTTCCCTTGGGTGACATCCAATTGATAACAAACTTCTATTTTTCGTGGACACGCGGAAATCGGTCAAATGCTTGTTCGTAGGTGACCTGGATATTTTCGACATCTGCTATCTATCAATTCTAGCCGTGTGTGTGTGTGCTCGCCTATGACCCGTTTTCGTATATTTTTTCCTTTCTTTCTTCTTCGTTTTCTCTTTCTTTCTCCCAGATCGCTTGAATGTAAAGAAAGAATTATTCTTAAAACCCAAAATATTTTTCGGCCTTAAATAATTATTAAATGGTTGATAAACCGTAAAAAACAAATGATATATCTATAAATATTCTTTTTAAATCGTCAGGTATGCATGGTGCCACATCCATTCATTTTACTGAAGAGCTTCGTATTAACGCAAGTGGCTTTTATTTAACAGTATATATATATATATATATATATATATATATATATATATATATATGTAAATGACTAAAATGTATTACCGACCTCTGCGTTTCTATATCTCCCCGTTCCTTC